ATTATCTTTCTAAAACAAACAATCTAACAACGGCCAAGCTTTCAAATTGCACTATGCTTGGCAAAACATGTTAAATCGCTCTCCGATGGAAATTTAATCAAAGAGGTTTTGTGCACGCCCCCCCAAAAGGTTCGCCACCACTGTTCTATAACATGCGCATGAACACCAGCTATTCTTTAATCCTCTGCGGCACAGTGTGTCCGGTTTGGACACACCTAAAAATTTCCTTCTGTACGCACAGAAAAATTGGATGAAAAAGGATTTATAGGTTACTCTGAACCTTCTTTATTTACAGTAGCTTATTTACAGTAGGCTTTATTTACAGTAAAGCTTTATTTACAGTAGATGGCAGCTCAACACAAACCAGTCCATATATTTTAGCCATGTTTAGTTTTTTAAGACCCTCATTTTTCAAAGAAAACTTCCAGATTCTTTTAGGCTATAAAAGGAAATGTTTGAAAAGAAATTTCTATGTTATTTTTGGCTTTATGCTAATCTCCTTATTCTATATTAGTTTTAAATTTTTACCTTGAAATCTTACCTAAAATCAAACGGCGAACCCAAGGTGTGCCCAGACCGGGCTCACCGATCATCTAGGACAACTGAGAGTCTGCAATCTCTGTTTCTCCGCATCTCATCGGTCAGTTCATTAAAACAATGCTCGTTTCAGAACTCTTTTCGAAGCTCTATTCAATCAGTATACCCACTTTGGGCACACCCACAGAATTAAAACGATAAGTGCTATCTTCACAAAATTTTACTTATGTACTCCTCTAGGCTTAATTAGACTGCCTACCTCTTTTTTTATTTTTTAATCAAGACTCCAACTTTAAAAGCTAACGTGCCAGAAAGGGTTAAACTAAAAGGAGAGCTTACCGTCAATTTTTTTTTGTACATGTATAGGCTTTATGAACGTATGCAAACGCTCACGAATCTTTGATTGTATCTCTTCTTTTGTTAGGAAACATTAACTTACTATTTACGAAATTGAAATTCATAGGTTATCACCATTCAAAACCAGCAACAGTTTGAGATGAAATATTACACAAGTTTCTTGGGAATGTTCTGTATTCATTTGGAAATCAGGCCATAGAAATTTCAATCTGATGACATCTGGTTAGGCTAAGGTCTGTAGTCAAGGAATCCTTTTGGTGTCCTAGTTCTAAAGCCATCTCCTTTATCGAATCATTAATCCTTTCATCGCGCTTTTTGAATTAACACATTTCCCCAAAATCGGACGTTTACAATAGATAAAAAGAGTTTCCTAAAATTCAGAATTTGAGGTCACTTCCTCATCTCGATCAATCAGCGATAACTTTTGATCATAAGTTCTAACCTGCTATCCCAAAAAGGACACCGCATGCGGAAGTAAACGTATCCAGCATTATGAATGCGTTTTACACAGCAAAATTTTATACTACAAGACCTAAATTCCACAAATAAATATATTATCAATTTCATCACCTAAAGATATCATTTCGAGGTCTCAATAATACGCAAGATCAGTGTAATGACCCTGTTTCAGATTGGCGGACGATAATATTTACAATATATCAACACAAGATTTGTGAATTTGAAAGAGAAAGGCATCTCAATGGGCATTGCCAGATTGCCTAAGATTGCCTATTACTGAAGATCAAAAGAAGTCAACGGCCAATTTAAAATAGCTGCAAGTGCCAAATGCAAACAACATATTTTGTTTGGAAAATATTTTGAAACGCATCCTGCAATAAGAATAATGGCTATTTCAAAATATTGAAAATACATCTGTGAGCAGTTTTATAGACAGAAATAAACGGGAGTCAAGCATAAAAGATAATGAAAATACCGCAGCTTATTTTGGGAAGTAACATTGTCACCAAAGTCAGTTATACGCTGTCAAAATCTACGCGTGCCCTTGTATGTTTTCATTATGTGTTAGTAGAAAAACGCATGAAAATAAACATCTGGAAGTTCAGCAAGTTATTTTTGCCTCTGGCCACTAGTTGGCCATCACTGCTGAAGATGATCGCACGTCACTAAGACTCGAGGTTATCCCTGATTGCGTGCACAGCATTAAGTGATGGACTTCTGTAAGTCGCGTTATGAGTCAACGGGTATATTATGCTGAAAGTACTAGTTCTTCATGGTGTTACATTTTGAATGGCCAGCAGTATAATCTCAGAAATTCTGAATGCACAGGAGGGCTATTTGCTGAAGGGAACGATGACTTCGTGGCGACGTTTCTGAGGAAATCTGTTGCGTATTATTTACGGTACATGTGTGGAAAGCTATAGAATATTCATTAGCCTGCTTTTCTGATGGGCTTCCAGCTCGGGTTGAATCATGAGCATTTAGAAAGATGATCCTGTCGGCCATTGGTGGACTTCGAATGTTTTTCTGTGCAACGCACCCAAAGACACTTTTTAAGATCTCGCAAGTCACAAATCGTGAGGTGCCGCACGTACCAAAGAGCCCTTATAATATTACTTAATTGAAGATTATTAAACAGACACTGTGTCTTTAATCTACAAACGTTCTTTGGCTTTGAGGTACAGTTACTAAAAATCTGAATTTCTACGTAATGTTAAATTTGAAATAGTGTGAAAATAGATGGTGCATGTATTAGATGTTAATAAAAGTAACGTAATACACTGATGAAAAAAATTCACGAAAATACAAAGAATTTTGATTTTAAAAAAAGGCGAAATTTAGTCAGCCTTTTAAAGACTCAATAAATAGCTTATTAGTTTCTGAAAACTTAATGGGAATTACGTGGACTAATTTCAGTATAATAATTATGAACAGTGAGAGTTACTAGAAATATGACAGATAAAAAGCGAACAGATGCGGTTTGAAAAATGGTAACAAGCGACTGGCTATCGAAGCAGGAATTTGTTACAAAATTCAATGTCTCTAGAAAGGATGCGCTTGTACTGATGTACTTTTCTGAATCCTTGCAAATGATATTAACAGTAATTGCTGATTTGCTATCGTAGATGTGGAAGCAGTTCGTAGACGTAAGATACTTATTCAACTCCAGCAAACTAGGTGACTAAAAGCTATCCGTTTCAGTCAGTCAGCGATAGTGTCAAATAATGCGATGTAGTTTGAAATTTAATTTAATCAGTTCTGGGAAGTACTAAAATACATACCGTTACACACATATAATGCATAACACCGGGGAGGGATGAAAATTACTGTTAAAAGAATGACACATTTCTTTTATCGTAGTACATCTAAAGGTTCAAAAGTCAGCAGATCGGAAATTCACTGAAATTGTTTATTTCCGCTCTACAGGCTAGTTCGATTCCAGTTTTCTTATCTTCAAAGTCTAAGCCTTCAGAGATAGCAAAAGTAATTATATTCGTATCGTCCAAACAATCGGGGATACATATGCTAACCATTTCAGTTACATGGAATTCTTCAAAAATTAATTTTTTAATGAAAAACGTTGCAGAGTTTTTCATTCAGCACAACAGGAAGTGTTCTTATCACTCAGTACATCACGAAATTTACGAAATATGGGTATTCACAAAATATGATCACCTTACATGACGACTATGTTTTGCCTCCACACTCGATAGTCTTACTGTGTTTTGAATACATCTCTATGTAACAGAAGCGCTAGAAATGCAGTTCCGAATTGCTAAAAATTCGAAATCTGTTCTGAGTAATAATGAAATAATTTTACTCAGAACAGAATGAAAGGAAGACTAATAATAAATATAGTACCTTTCATTAAAATACTTCACAATCACTAGAATTTCATATGGAATTTTATGAAATATTAATGATAATTATTAAATTTTTTAATTATATATTAATATTTATGAAAAAAATTTAGTGAAAGAATTCAACACTGCTGGAGAATTTACAGAGGGTGTTGAATCAAATTGGAATAAGTTGCTGCAGACGATAATTTGATTATCGTCTGCAGCAATTACTAACTAGTTTACAGTATTACTAACTAGTTTACAGTCCTTATTACTAACTAGTTTACAGTCAAGGGAATTAGTTTCAGAAAATCACATTTGAAAAAGAATAACTTACTGAATAATTGTTCTATTGGAGCAAAATTACAAAATTGCCAAGATGCAAATGGCTGTTGTGGTTAATTTAACAACTAAGCAACTTATCTGATAAACTCGATTAAACTTATTACATTCTGAGATTAAGAATTTGAAAGAGATTACTTAAATATATTGTTTTCTCTTTCAAATGGAAAATTTTCGAGTTTGCTTTGACTCATTAAGAAAATCAAAAATTGCTGATTTAGCAATATTTTTTACAGCTTGAATAATTAAATTAGCGTCATATATTTCTGACAGTTTTCTTAAATTGAAATAGTATTTAATGGGTCAGATATCTTTCTTAGTTCTTTCATTTAACTCTTTCAGTGCCAAGCGAAAGTATCGTACCTATGAGAAGAATACCGGGCCGATTTGACGAATTTGCTAAGGTTTGGGAAACAGCTCTAAAAACCAAAACCAAACTAAGAGTGATAATTTACAAAATAAAGAAAATTACAAGATTACGAAATAAAGGAAGAATAAAGTAATGCCAATTGTATTTCAATATTTGTTGAAAATCAAACCAATAACATCAAAATAAAACATTTTAATTCATTTGCAATAAATTTATTTTTAATTTTTAAAAATTCATTTTGCAATGAAACTAGACTATTTATAACATTTCATAAATTTATTTTGAGACAGAGTTCCCTCGTAATACGAATAATCCGTCGGATACGCAATGATATATTGGCATATTTATGTAGTGTTGCCAGAGACGTCGGCACTAAAAGGCTCGGCACTGTATCGTCGTTCGGCACTAAAAGGGTTTTAAAGTTAGATTAATAGACGCTGAATATATACTAGGCACTTCAATGATCTGGATAAGAAGTAGAATGAAGTTTTCTTAAAATGATTTTTTTAATAAAATACTGGAATAAAATTTATTCAGTTTGTTGCACTTTTATAACAATAAAATTTTCATTTTTTTTTTCTTTTCTACCACAGCATGGGTGGGATCTGTGTCCATTGGTATGACATTCCTCTTATCTCCCGTTGCCAGCATCCTGACGGACAAGTTAGGCATTCGCACGACAGCTTTCATCGGCGGCTTGATGGCAACAGCTGGTATGCTGATCAGCTCTTTTGTTTCCAGTCTAGAGCTTCTTTACTTGACGTACGGGGTACTTTTGGGATCAGGGGCATCACTCGCGTATACTCCTTCCTTAGTAGTACTAGGACATTACTTCCGTCGTAGGTTAGGATTTGTGAATGGCTTAGTGACAGCCGGCAGTTCTGTCTTCACCATGGTCATGCCTCTTCTTCTTACGTATATGCTGGACACCATAGAGTTATCCGCCACTTTACAGGTAAATGATTTTTCCATCTTATTTGTTCCTGAATCACTTGACATATGGAGTTCTTGTCTGATGCTCTTGAATAAATATACAGCGTGTTTCAAAAGTCCGAGACCACTTTAAAAAAATTTATTGTAGCCAAACAAGTAGCAAAGTAACGAAATACATCATTTTAAAGAGAAAATCTGTAAGTTGTTTTCAACAACACTTATTTTACGAACACTGTATGTGGGAACCATGTGTGATCCTACAAACGTCGACGCGATTATCTAGCTCTTGCCACACACGGCACAAAGTATCTTTCGAGACTGTGACTGCTACTTGTTCAATGTTTCTTTTCAATTCCGTAACATTACCTAGAAGAGGAGGAACATAAACAAGGTTGCCCCACTACGACCAATCCAACGATTAGGTAGCTTTGTGTTCAGATATGTCCTAACATCACGGTGAAAATGTGAAGGTACACCGTCTAACTGAAGGACAAAGTTCTCTGATTCAGTTTACAACAATGGCATTAAACAGGTCTGCAACATATGAAGAAAGGACTCTCCAGTAACAGTGTGTTCTTCAAAGAAAAAAGGCCCATAAAATTTCTTGCGGGACATGGCACAAACAGCATTGAGCTTTGAAGAATCTCGCTCGTGTTCAACAATGTTATGCGGGTTTTCTATTCCCCAAATTCTACAATTGTGTCTGTTTACCTTCCCATTTGTATGAAATTCTGCAACGTCCGAAACAATTATTGATTTCACAAAAGCGTCGTCTTTGTCCTGCAATATACAGAAAAACTCGAATCTCCGGTCTTTTTTGTCTTTAGGAAATAACTTTTGCACTAACTGTAGTCTGTATGGTTCATGTTTAATTTTTTATGCAAAATACGCCACACAGTCGTTGTTGACATTTCTAACTCATGCGATTGTCTTCCGACTTTGTGATGTGCGTGGCAAAAGTTAGATTATCGCGTCGACATTTGTAGCATCACACATGGTTCCCACATGCAGTGTTTGTAAAATGAGTATTGTAAAAAAAACTTACAACTTTACTCTCTAAAATGATGTACTTCGTTACCTTGTAATGCTACTCGTTTGGCTACAATAAAATTTCTAAAGTGTTCCCTGACTTTTGAAACACGCTATGTCTGTAATACTCTTTCAGATATGCAACTCTTTTCTTTTTGTTAAAGTATAAAATGCATTGAGTTCTAGAACATCATTCGAACCTAAAAATGTCAAAATATCTTGATGTTGTATAAAAATTAAAAGCAATGTAGTTTAACATGTAAGTTTTGGTAAAGAGTTTGGTTTATTCAATTTTGGCAAAATACGATAGGGCTATTTGCCTAAAAGTGAGGGATGCCTTCGTGGAAGACTTTCTAAGGGACACTTGTTGGTATCCACGTTAGACATGGAGAAAAGCAAGTAAACGCCCACGCAGCCAGCTGGGTCATCTGAAATCGCGACTTGATACATTTAGATGTCATACTATAAGGAATTTTCTCCTTCTTCATGCCATACTTTCGTGTTGCATGAAAGCATATTAGACTAGCAAGTGGGAGGTTTAGAGTTAGAAAAGCAGCGAGGTTATTATTGATTTTTCAATCTTTCCTGCTTCAAAATAAATCCAATGACTTTAGAAGAGGCGCCTGACTAAAACTGTGGTGGAAGATAATTCCTCACCTCCTGGATTTGGCAATGTTGTGACTTACTGCTCAATTTCCCTTTAAGAGGAAAAGAGTATGAAGAATTTTCTCCTTAACGTATGGCCTACCTTAACGCATGTCTTTGTGGTATAATTTGTGGAAGTACGTCAACTAGCGATCGGGAGGTCCGGAACATCAATCCCGCCGGGGACATTGCTGATTTTTCATGTTCCCTGCTTTGAAATCAACCGAATGACTCTACAAGGATACATTATTTTCAAAGAGCATGACAAAACTAAACCTGCTGGACATAAAACTTTCTTTTGCTGAAATGCATGGAAAAACTAGTTATGAACATATAGAAAATCATGCATAGTGATTTCGAAACAATCCCTTACAGTTAGTTCTATTTGCTTAATTTTCTCTTTTTTTCACAATGAAGATAACTGAATGGCGAAAAAATACTTGAATCCATAAAATATTTTGTTGAGCAGATTTTTTTCTGAATTCTGATGATAAGAAACAGTGCTCTCTCTATATAAGTAGAGTACGAAGCTTGCAGACAGGCAGATCCTAGATAGGAATCCTAACGGAAGACAAATCCATATAGTGTCCACATCAAAGACCAAGGGACCATCATAGACCAAGAGAGCCATATAGTGTCCACATAAAATTTTCAATTAATTTATTTCTCTTTAATAATAAAGTTCTCATTAATTACTTGTAAATAAAAATATATACTTCATCAATGAAAAAAAATGGATATATATATATATATATACTTTGCTTAATGTGCCAGAAAAAGAGGCTCTGATATTCCGAATTTGGAAGACAAAGGGTTCTTTATCAATGGATTGGAAGATTTGTTAATTTCAGTGTTCGATTTCTCTCTATGACCACAAAGTCTGGGCCTATAGCTCCATAGTTTAGGGGGCCTCGAATCTTGCTGTAGTACTTTTTTTTTCTAATAAAAAAAGAGAAAATGAGCCGGAGCCTTCTAAAGGAGTGCTGGGCCTACAGCCCCGAATTTATCAGACTTTGACTAATACCTTACTTCTAAACACTGTTACATGTAATATATACCTATACAACGCGTAAAACTAGAACATAATTTCATTGATGATTTTTTTAGAAGTTAGTGATGTCATACAAATCAGCTAACAACGTCTCTTAATTATTTTCATATCATTGTAATTGAATTCGATTGCATTTCCAGGAAAGACTAAATGTTCAGTTTCTTTTCATTAGTTCCTCTCCCTTATGATGGGATCACTGATGCTGTGCGCACTCACGTTCCGGCCACTTGTCGTTCAGCATCAGAGAATCACAGAAAACGAAGCCCATGCTTCAGAGGAAAGTTTGCAGAAAGAAGTAAGAAATCACAGATTTTCTTTTCACTTAACCGCGTCTCAGTATGAAAATAATAAATCAGTTACATATAATAATTGATAATATATTAACAATATAATTAATGACAATATAATTAATAATACATATAATTACTACATAATTAATAATACATAGTAATTAATAATAAATCAGTTACATATAATAATTGATAATATGTTAATAATATCATTAATAACAATATAATTAATGATACATATAATTACTATCAGAATTAGTAATATAATTAATGATAACACAATTAATAATACATACATCACATATAATTAATTCAGTTACTCATAATTAATCATAGATAATTAATAATTCAGTTCCTCATCAGCATTGTAGAAAAATCAATAATAAATGGTGAAAAATAAAACTGAAATGATCAAACTTCTTAAATTGTGTCATGAAATAAAACAATTAGGAATTCTAGTCGTAAGTTATTGCGATTTGATTCTGTTCATTAGTAATAACAATTAGCACAAATATTTTTGTTGCTTTTAAAATCTGTTATATTTTTTCTACTTTTGAATATTTTTACCTCTTTCCCTCAATTTATATATCTATATCTGTCTCTCTGTATCTATGTATATATATACATGTAAAATATAAAAATACGATTGTTTTGCTCTACGCGAACAGGCAACTTTAATTAACTTTCCGAAATTTAAGGATCTTTCCCCTAGACCAGTACTTTCAAGAACATTTTGGCATGTCATGTAACCGCTACTATAAATGGAGAGTTCGCGCCACCGCTTTCTCCTCCCTAAATTCCAATTCTGCGCCTACTTACGGAATCACCCATAGATGGCAGCACGCGAACTCGTAGAAGATTACCTCCTCGGACCGGCTTCTGGACTTAAATTTCCACTTCCTCGCCAATTTCAAAGGGCAAACTGAGGAACTATTCGTTCTTTTCCTACATCTCCCTGCTCCTTCCATGGGATTCACTCAGGAACTTGTATCACCATGCCCATTGTGGACTTTCTTTCAGGTTTACAGGAAAGTACTGCGAATGCAGTAGAACCCCTGTATAACTACCTCCGTATCAACGCTTTCTCCTTCTGCTGCTATAAGATCTTTGCTGCCGCTCTTCCCATTTGTCTCCCTTTGTTTGAATAATATGATGCAGTAAATTTAAAGTTAATCCTATACTTTAGTTTAAAGTACTATTGCATATGTAATTTTGGAAAATCTAAAAGAATAATGATCTGCCTTTTGAATTGAATAAAGATGTGGAATCAAAACAGGTAACTTCTTTGTCATCCAGGGCTTAATTTCTAAGATTAGAAGTGCCGGAGCCCTATGGAAGACCGTCAGCAAAGAGGAACAACAGTAAATAAACAAATAAAATGACTATTAAACTCATTAATATTTTTAAAATTAAATAGTTAATTATTATCAAATTAATTAATAGCTATTTACTTAATGTTTATAAATTGTTATTTAATCGATAATTATTATATAATTTAATTGATAATTATTAGATAATTAATTAATTGTAATTTAATTTATAATTATTAGATAATTATTATTTATTGAAATAATTAAAGATTGAAATATTTAAAATTAAATAAAATGTAAACAGATAAATTGAATTTAATATTGAAATATTTAAAATTAAATAAAATGTAAACAGATAAATTGAAATTTAATAAGCGATTTTTAATATAATTTATTGTTAAAATAAAATTTTCGAGATAAAAGTTCTACTGAAATTGTTATTCAATGACATAAAAGAAGTGCCGCAGCCTTCTTATTCAGGGCTCCGGTGCGTTCCGGCTAGAATTATGATTTATTACAAAAACTGGGAAGCACCGGAACCGAGATCCGGTGGGCTCCGGCCCAATTTAAGCTCTGATCGTAAGGGGGGGGGGAGTTCTTTTATCATCATAAAAATTAAATATGCTTGGAGTATAGCTGATGAAAATTCCAGGGCGAAACAGAATGAGGGTGTGAGTGGGTGGAAACAAAAAATGAGGGGAATCTTGGTGAGAGAGAACGTTCTCTTTCACCACGGCTCTCTGTTGATATAATTATAGCCATCAAGCAGATGTATATAAAAGATGTATTATAAAAGGAAGTAGCGGAGCTCATCTTATTTAGGGCTCCGGTGCCCTCCGGCTAAAATTGTAATTTATCTTAAAAATTGAGAAGTACCGGAGCCGGGCTCCGGCGCAATTTAAGTACTGTTGTCATCATTAGATGCCATGCTTCTTCATTCCTGTGCCCGACTGTCAAAATATGGTATAAAAAAATGAAAACAAACTACTAACTTTAATTTGGCAATAGTCCGTTTTATTCCTTCAACTTAAGTAACGCAGAGAAAATTTGAATATCTTTCTTTCAATCCGATTAAAGAAACTTTTAACTCACGTTTTTTCAACAGGTTTTCTGTGAACGTGTGCTTTTCCTCGCTCTGCCAACAGGTGCCGCTTATCTCTCTGCTTTATATAATGTCTAAATGCGTGTCTCAAATATATATATTTCAAATGAAACTGGGTGCAAATTGCGCCTCTGGTGATGTGTGAAGAAGAATAAGTGTATAAAGAATTAGTTATCCAGTAATAAAATTGTATGATGTATCTACGACTACGTCTGTCTAAATGTCTCTCCTTCTTTATGCGTCATACAAACTACAGTAAAACAACTGCCCAAATACATTTTACAACTACTCATTTCAGAACATTACATTATACAAACAACTGTTTTCAGTATGCAGTAAAACAACTGCCCAAATCCATTATATCTATCGTCCAATCATCAAGGTATTACATTTATATATGTAATAATTTGAATATAAATGCAGATGTATTAGATGTGCAATCGGAAGGTTGATTGCACTGTTATTGCATTCCTACCGAGAAGTTGAAGTCGTGTAGACGCAATAAGGAGTATTAGTGGCAGAATTACTATTGCTTTATATTTCTCGTTGCCACGCATTTGCAAGCCAATAAAATAACTTTAAGAGCTAAATCAGTAGCGTTACATTTTAAAACATAATTTTGAAGAGAGCAGAAGCGATAGATTTGCTAGCAAGAGGAGCCGGAGCGAAAAGATTGATGTCTTAGAAACTAAATTTCAGTTAAGAGTGATATAATTTTGTGATTATAATTTTTTTTTTATCAGAAGTGGAAATTATTGAGCTTCTGGCATAAGAACTTGTAGAACTATAATTAAATTTGAAATCATTTCGATTCGTCGCTTTTCGTTGTATCAGTTAAAATTATGATGAATATGTTTGCAATACTGTTTAAGTATGTAATTATGCATATGAATTTATAAATATAGTTTTATATTCCCTTATTAATATTGAGAAAATGACATGGCTTTGTAAGGTTTTAGAGTAATTATATCCTTAACTTTCTCAAAAATATAATTTTCCTGCTTTTGCGCATGATTTCTCTTAATCGGTCCGACCTTCGGAAAAACTTAACCTTGTGGGAACTTACCTTGTTAATTGTTACCTTGAAACTTAACCTTGTTAATTGTATGAACCTTGTGGGAACATAAAATGGCAAACTCTTATGCTTCTTCCTTAAAAATTTCAAAAATTACTTTTCATTTTATAATAAAAATTAGTCAATTCTGAAGTCTGAAAAATAAAAAAAGGATCATTTATTAAGAAAATATAATACGATTACTTTTTAAAGTAGGTCATTTATTACTTAGGGTATTATTGCAACCACCTTAGTAGAAATCGCCAGATTTTCAGAAGTCGACAAACTCTAGCAGTCATGCTCATAGCAGTTCTTTAGGTCAGTGTTTTTCAACCGCCGGTCCGCAAGAAATATTTGCCGGTCCGCGAAATATTCAGCTGTCTGTCCAAAATCCAAAGTGTCATCGGCCGATAATCGATATTACAACAGCACCTACATTCCAATAAAAATTGTTTTCTAGTTTAGTATTTATTTATGTGGAAAAATTGTGCCAATGGGTCGAATTATTAAACTTATCGGTCCGCGAGAACGTATCGAAATATGTTACCGGTCCTCGGAATAAATCCAGTTGAGAAACACTTCTTTTGGTGACCATAAAATCCATTATAAGCTGCAATCCGAAAATTCACCGATTCATCTTTTCTTCTGCAAAAGATCTCCAAACTGCGTCAAGGTCGTTGCGGTAATACGTAAGTACCCGTTTATTATGGATTAATTTTTTATTGGAAAAAAAAAAAAAAAAAAAAAAACTAATTAAAAGTAGTAATTTTTCATTTATAATCCTGCTCGCAGTACAAATAACAATTTTATGTCGATGACAATATAGAAACCTTATTCTTAATTAATTAAAAATATTTTAATATCTGGAACGCAGGGTAAAAGAGGCACAGTGTGAAGAGCATCGAATTTAGTATACAAAAGTTTTACGATCGTAAACCAGTTAGTTTTAAAGATATTGAGTTTTGAAATGCGTTATACGTATGTTTGCCATTTTTTGATCTTTCAAATGTACTTGACAGCTTAAAAGACGCACAATAATTGTTTCTATGAAAATTAGTATAATCAAATAATAATTAAAAATAAAATGTAGCAATCATTCGTAAATAATGAATCACATAATAAAAATTAATAAAAATCATTTCATATATACTATGCAGGTACTTTTACATACTTTCCCTTTAATTCATCTATACGTGTCATATAGCTTATATATAATTATTATAATTTTAATCTGACGTTACCGTAGCCCCAGGAGTTAAAATTTATATATTTCGCACAATGCAGTGATCTTCTTAAATAAAGTCTTTTAAACTTTTCTGTTTTCTTTATAGGATGGCTGCTGCGGACGATGCTTAGACACCTCCATATGGAAGAACAAAAAATATCTTTTGTGGGTGTTTGCCATTCCAACTGCTCTTTTCGGGTACTTTGTACCCTATGTTCATTTGGTAAGTACTTAAATAATAATACTTTTCAGTTAATGAGGGCATGAAGATGTTACTAATTTCAACCATTTTATGTCAAAAAAAGAAAAAAAAAAAGACGGACACTTTTTCTGCCTTTAGAATTGGAGACATAACGTATTTCCTCATTTTATTTTCACAATATATGAATAACGTAAGAACCTACATCATAAAAAATGTTTAAAAACAAGATGGTGGTAAATGCTAATAATTAGTTAAATGTATAAAATTGTTGTAATTCGTTTGAGGTCATAAATAATAAAGTATTGCTTTAAGAGATTTTGTGAAGCACAATGATCCCTCTGTTCAATAGTTAAATGAAAAAAATTGTAGAGCAGTTTTATTTGAAATGCAAAAAATTATTTTTTTAGGCGCCTTCAAAACCTTCACTTCGTCCTTTGGAATGTAAATATTTACTACAACGTTCTTGAAATTCCTAGAAGCAGTGCGAGAATGTACTTTTTGATAACCGTCGTAGACTGGTTGTCGTCTCATTTTGAATAGCTTGAATTGTCTGCAAAACGTTGACTACGTAGAAAACATCTTAAATAAGAGCACAGCGTGGCTAGAGGATGAGAAATATGGAAAATAAGTAGTTGTGTTGTATCAGGGATTTAGTAGCTCTGAACAAAAAAGGCCAAGGTTCTTTGCTCAAAATTCAACAGTGCGCGAAAGTTGCTTTAGCTTCTAAAATTGGGCAAAGAAGTTGCCTTATGGAGCCGCAGATGTTGAATCTAAGGTTGCTGTTTTTGCCTAACTTTAAATTTTACAGTAATTGTTTCTTTTCTAACTACATGCTTTAACTTCATTTGCATTAGAACACGAACTACACAACTTCGGATGATTCCACTTCATACATTCATTCAAGTTTCACGTAAGTGAAGATACTTTTTCGCAGACGTTTCGAACATAGGGCTATTAAACCGAATGTAAAATATTTTAAAAAGGAGAGAAATTTCGTAAAAACTGCATTTTCGTGTTTAGTTCACTCATTTGAAAATATAATGCGTTCTTGACAAGTGCAAAAATATCGCATATATTCAAATTTCTTCTCAGTGAGATTCATAAATTATATTTATTAGTGACAAAGTGAGAAATTCGACTTTCTATACAATAATGAAAGTAGAAGAATGCGAAACGCTTAGATTAAAAATAAAATACGAAAAAGGTACGAAACGCTTAGATTTTCGCATATTTCGTACTCATTGCTTAAAAGTAAATCATGGAAATACACTCATGTCCATAAATTAAGGATAATTCGGAGTCACGCGGAAATCGAACTCTAAAATAAATATATCACCTGTAAAATCACTACACACATCTTCAAGAATCATATGCAAATTTCAGGATGACCAGATGACACCGATGGTACGTCACAATGACGACAGTGTAAGAGAGTGATATATAAGGGATACAGGCAAAGAAGTAAATTGTTTCGCAGGCACTTTATAAGCATTTCAGTGCAATAACCGAATAGTTATGACACAAAGGACACATTTGGATGATTTTTTACGTGGTAGAATTATCGGCCGTCTGGAATGTGGGCGCGTACCCAACTGGAAGTATCAGACGAAACTTGGAATTGCCCAGAGTGTCATCTCCAAGCTTTGGCAAAACATTTCCACGATGATGGTAATGTGAGTAGACGTTACAGCACAGGTCGCCCCAGAGTTACAACGCCGAATGAGGACCGGTATTTGGCAGTTTACTGCCAAAAAAACAGGCGGAGCACAGCCTCAGACCTGTCTCGTCAGCTCTCTTCAGCCACTGGTACGACAATTTCAAGGCAGACCGTGTACAGGCGCTTAGGGGCAGATTGGTCTATATGGCTCGTAGACCTGTCAGATGCGTTCCACTTACTGCAACTCACTGTCGCCTGCGGTTTAGCCTGGAGTAGAGAGCATGCATTGTGGACACCGCAACAGTGGGCTTGTGTGATGTTTTTTCCGACGAGTCCAGGTTTAGCTTGCAGTCTGATTCTCGCCGGACTTTCATATGGAGAGCTCCAGGTACCCTTACCACCAAGAAAACATCATTGAACGACACCGTTACGGTGGTGGTGCAGGAGTGCTCGTTTGGGGGGGAATTATTCTGGGTTCCAGAACTGACCTGCATGTTCAAAACTGGAACCATGACAAGCCAAAATCTATCGGGACGTCATTCTGGAACAACATGTACATTTGTTTCGGTTTCGGGGCGCCATGGGTGCACAATTTGTGTTTATGGACGACTACGCCCGTCCTTACAGTGCAAACACCGCAAGGGAATGCCTTCAATCGGAGGATATCACCCATATGGACTGGCCAGCATTCTCACCGGACTTGAATCCAGTACAGCACGTGTGAGACACGTCGTGTCTTGGCCGACGAGTTGCAGCCCGTCAACCTCCTCCTACATGTCTACCGGAACTTCGGAGAGCATTGCTTTTTGAGTGGTGTAATATCCCCCAAGATCAGATCGATAATTTGATACTCAGTATGACTAAACGTTTTACGGACTGTATTGCATCGTCTGGGAGACATACAATGTATTAACAATCATACCAACCATGTAATATTGATTTTTTGTAAGTAGGTTTTTTAATAATTTGCTCCAGGGAGAAAAAATCGCTAATTTTTTTAATAATATCAAACATATAACATCTTCTTTTGCTCTTTACCTTTTTAATAAATAAGCTTTACAAATAAGTCAAATTTGTTTCACTTCTAACTCTTCCTTTGTCTGATTTTGCATTATCCTTAATTTATAGACATGAGTGTATATAAAATACCCCTGAAAGCCACACTTAATATTAGGATCTGGATGTCGGCAAGGGATGGTGGAACTCGTGTAAGCTGTTAGTAGTGACTTTGAGTAATAGACAATGGCTTTCACCAACTTGGAATGCCTAAAGGAATTCTATGCCAAATTACAATTCACTTTATGTCCTAGTACTTACTGAGAGATGGAGACTTTCGTGACTATGAAATAGCTCTATGGTCAACAGCAGCAGGTAGCAGTTCTTTTGTATGCATACATATATACAGGGTATTTTAGCAAAGCGGTTACAAACTTTCAGGAGAGATAGAATACACCTACACGATGGAAAATCACATAGCAATGTATGGTCGGAAACGCTTTCCTGGCGCGGTAGTCATAACACAAAATATTACAAGAAAGGAAAGACACGAACAGGATGAGAAAACATGTTTATTACGCTTACGATTGCAGAAACCAAGAAATAAGAACAAAAACAGACAACGACTGCCATCAAAGAGTTTGTTCGAAATTACGACAACGGACCGTGATGCTGGCCTCACATTTGCGGTAAGTGAAAGATCTGATGTTCTGAAAAATACCAGACGTGTCCCAGACTTCGTTAGCAGTTGTCAAGATGAGCGCAACAAATTCTTCAACACTGTTAACTGGGGTTTCGTACACCCCTGTCTTGACGTAGCCCCAGAAGAAGTAGTCAGTGCATGTGAGGTCTGTGATCTTGCTGGCTAATGCACCGGACCAACTTGCCGATCGAATGTTGAGAATACATTGCATTCAAGTGGAGACGTAGATCAAGGCTGTAATGTGAGGATGTCACATTATGCTGAAATCATATGGCAGAACGCATCGCAGCGGGTACGTGTGAGTCGTCCAGTAGCTGCGGTAATTCATGTGTTTTGTGTCGTCACTACCGCGCCAGGAAAGCGTTTCCGACTATGCATTGCTATGTGATTTTCCATCGTCTAGGTGTACTCCGTATCTCTTGAAAGTTTGTAACCGCTGTGCTGAAACACCCTGTATAAAATAAATTTACGATACCATTACCGTCTACCTTGTTGGGGAATAAAGTAATTCAGCATTAGTATTTCCCTCTTTCTACAGTATAATCCCGTACTTCACGATTCCTACTTCTTCCATTTTCACATGCAGCTGTTTAATAACAGTGCTTACGCTTCAGAAATAGTAGTATAGTATTCATCATTTTTCACATTGCTTAAATATTATATACGTTACTCGGAAGAGGAAGATATATGGTAAGTCAAAATAAAACAGCCATTTGATATACGTTGCCTAGAAATGCCACGCATTATATAGAATGACTAGACATTCTATAAAATGCTTGCCTTTCATGCTTTTCTGCTAACATATTACTGTCATGTTCATGAAAAATCTTGTTAATTTTCAGTAATTGAGAAGACTAAGACAAACTTTTAAATTTTCACATTTCACACGTGAGGTAATTTCTGTCAAAAGTAGTTCTGCATGCAATGGTAGTTCATGATCGTAGATGTCTGGGAGTTGTCTAAGAATAGCATTTTATGTGGAAAAGCTGTAAATCATAAATGCTTCTTTCCGAACTATCTTCATTTTGGTTTTAAATAACTTCTCCGTATTTAGGGGGTTTCCTCCCTAAATCTACCGTCTACCGAAGAAGCGAGTACAGTCTTTTAACTCTTGAAACGCTTCCTGACTGTTAACGCTCTTAGTTACGCCATAAATGTGTTAATTTATTTACTCTCCGTCAGAGATGGATTTTAAAGTAATTCTAGATTTCTGTATTTTCGGGTGTTTGTTAGGCAGATGTATGAGAATACATTGGTTTAGCACTTTTCTTAATTTTGCAGTCAGCGTAATCCTTTTTAAAACGCCACGGGACCATTTCAGTTTTCGTGACGTAATACTAATAGACTGCTATTTAGTAACCTTGAATGAACTCACTACTTAACACTTCTGTTATCAACTAATACAATAATACCCTCTTGTTCTTCAAGGCTGTTGTAATATCATCTTTGATAAATCAGCCTTTCCAGCCTTTTTCAAAACTGATTTTATAAATGCGAAGATGTTTTCAATTACTCTTCTCAGAAGCAATCTGATAGAACTTTAAACGGGGTGAGTGTCATCTTTAAATGTTATTTTGAAAACTTTAATTTCTAAGACAGGGAAGCATTTGTGCTTTTGTTAACACTTGTGATAAATATCAAGGCTATATTTTTTAACTGAAGAAT